CAATATAATGTGATTGAGATAATGCATATCCGTCAGATGTTTTAGTAATTTTCATTCCTAATAAAACATCTGCGCCCCCCATATCTTTCATATCAAATCTTTTGTTAAGCATTTGGTTAGTTGATTTGATCATGTCTTGATTGCTTCCAATGATAAGCATGTCATCCACATAAAGACAAACTATGACATATCCTTGGTCAGTGTTTTTAACATAGACGCATTTGTCACATTCGTTTATCTTAAACCCATTAGTAAGCATTGCATGATCAAATTTTTCATGCCATTGCTTAGGTGCTTGTTTTAATCCATAAAGGGATTTTACAAGTCGACAAACTTTCTTTTCTTGCCCTGATACTACAAACCCTTCGGGTTGTTCCATATAGATCTCTTCATTTAGATCACCGTTTAAGAAAGCTGTTTTAACATCCATTTGATGTATTTCTAAATTAAACAACGCTGCTATAGCAATAAGCATGCGAATGGATGTTATTCTTGTCACAGGGGAATATGTGTCAAAATAGTCCAGACCTTCCTTTTGTCTGTAACCTTTAACAACAAGTCTTGCTTTATACTTGTCAATTGAACCATCTGTTTTCATTTTTCTCTTGAATATCCATTTATAACCAAGAGATTTAGAACCTGGTAGAAGATCCACCAATTCCCAAGTATGATTTTGCATAATGGATTCAATTTCATTATTAACAGTCTCTTTCCACAAAGGTGCTTCAAGACCTGTCATTGCTGCCTTAAAGTTTTGAGGTTCATTTTTTAACAAGTATGTCAGAAAATCTGGACCAAAGGATTTTGATGTTTTTGCTCTCTTACTTCGTCTTGGTTCATCAGTTAAATCATCTTAGTTAAATCCTGTTGGTCGAGACTATTACTAGTCTCTTGTGTTTGATTGTCATTGGTCTCTTGACTTTGTGTACAATCATAAGTTTTTTTCTGTGAACTTAATTCCTGTCCTTTCTTGTAAGGAAAGATCTGTTCAAAAAACACAGCATTCCTTGACTCTATAATAGTGTTCACATTTATATCAGGTATTTCTGATTTATAAGTCAGAAACCGATATGCACTACTATTCTGAGCATAACCAATAAACACACAGTCTATTGTTTTTGGTCCAATCTTAGTTTTTTTAGGAACAGAAACTTCAACTTTTGCCAAACACCCCCACACTTTTAAGTATTTGTAGGAAGGAGATCGACCTTTCCACAATTCATAAGGAGTGTTGTTGGTTTTCTTGTAGGGTATTCTATTAAGAACAAAATTAACAGACAATATTGCTTCCCCCCACAAGTTCTGTGGTAAGCCTGAACTTAGTAACATGGCATTCATCATTTCTTTTAGGGTTCTATTCTTCCTTTCAGCAATTCCATTTTGCTGTGGAGAATAAGGGGCTGTAGTTTGGTGAATAATGCCATGTTGTGCACAAAATTCATTTAATGGTGCATCATATTCACCACCTCTATCACTTCTAATATAAATCAATGAATTTTAAAACAAATTCAAGAAAAAACCAAAATAATTATGACTACTCAAGTCAGAATTAATGTTTTAACAAAATCATATCCTCATAAAAAATTTGCCTAAGAATCAGACAATTCAAAAACCCATTTGATTGTATACATTCTTGCAACTCAATAATAAATAAATGTCACTGTCATAAAAATATTTGTGACAGAAGAAAATTAAAGTATCTCAACTTATGCAAGAGATACACCCCCATATTAATAAAATGGTTCATGATTTAACAAATTCTACTATGCAAGTAAAATAATTATTAATGACATCTCATGTCACATAATTCAATAATCAACATTAAAGATTTCTTAAATTACTTCCCAATTAAACGGACCGATATAATTACACACATCTTCATGTTTAAATTTCTCTAGTGTTCAAACACCCATTCAAAATTGATTAGAAATATTCAAATTAACATGCTTATGTCCAAAGTCGACATAACAATTTATCATTCCAAATCACTTGAAATTATTGTTAAGAATAACTTGAGTTGATATCATACATGCATATCAAACGCATCAACTAAAAATAATGATTTAACAAAATAAATTAATCATGCACGATCCCATCACTTGCATTATGAAATAAAAGGATTCTCAACTCATAAATAAAATTCAACGCATTTAAACTTTAAACTTCAAAATGACAAAACATACCTTCATTTAATAAGTTTGATTTGTACATAAATAAACAAATTAAATATGCATTAAAATGTTCTTGTGAATATATATATTCCGACTCAAGTGCAGAAACAATTCAAGACTATGAATCCACATTGTAATAAAACTAAAATTAGTTTGTAAAACTAATATTTTACTCTAGAAACAAATTCTTCCATGTATACTCACGATGAACTATGATAAAGTCAAAATAATTAACACCTTTTCACAAAGGGTTCAAAAATAAGTGGTCTACCAAATGAAACCATAAGTTACTTACAAAATTATCAAATTGTGACCGAGTCACAAAGGTTACATGATTGATTAACAAAATTAATTTTCTAGTTACTAAAACCAGAAAATAAATTACAATACAAAATAATTTTATTTTCCTTGTTACTAAAACTAGGTTTGTTTCAATTAAATAACTTACTTGATTTAATTTCTTCGAATTATTTTTCTGATCAAGTCCAGTGTTTAACACTGTGTCCTTAAGACAGATTCGTCCTCTCCACGGTGCTTTCAGAATTTGGACGTCTATCTCCCAGGATGAAATGATCTACCACAAACAATAGCAGCACTACTAACTGTTTGCCTTACGAACACACTAAGTGTTTAAACTCTTTCTTTCGGAAATAAAATGCAGCAAGATGAAGAATAGAAAACAGAAGTGAAATACGAAATTTCTGAATGCAAAATATCAAATGAGGGTGGTCCTATTTATAGATGTGAAGGTGGCTCTTGGATTTGAAATAAACAGGTATGTAGCTCTTGGTTTTGAATTGAACAGGTATCATACCTGTTGGGTTTTGAATTCAAACAGATTTGAATTAATTCAAACAGATAGTAAAACGGGAAGGGTCCTGTTTGGGTGTGCAATAATTCCAAAACAGTTTATTTCTGTTTGAAAACGGGAAGGGCCCTGTTTGGGTGTGCACTAATTCCAAAACAGTTTATTTCTATATTTCCAACCTGCACCAAAATTTACCACAATACACAAACTCCTCTGATGATCATCATGCAATCTTTGTGCAAAAATAATCTAACAACACAATTACATATATCATCAAACATACACAAGTATAACATGTATCATTGTATTCTATCTATAACAACGTTAATTCCTAGTCAAAACAATATCCTTCTATCATAATGTATTAATCACCAAACTATAGTAAAATTTACTAGAACAATAGACATAGCATGTACTATCTAATACTCTTTTAGTATTGTTTCACTTACAATTACTTTTTCACCATTCTTTCATTTACAAAATCCAAAATTACATACATCATTCACAGTAGTTCCCCAAAAAGTTGTCTACATTGTATTTTTGGGTCCAATGGGTCTAGCCCATTTTGCCCATAACCTCTCCCTCTAAAACACTTGGGTACCCCTTGGGGCACACCCCAAGTATCTCACCCTAAGCCTTATAAACCCTTTCAAAACTTCCCACCAAATCAATGTGGGACAAGCCAATTTACAACCTTAAGGAATTTCCACCAAAACTCCATTTCCATGGAGCTCACTTTGGCTTCAATTTCCCATTCACTCGGTAATGGTTTTGAGCAACCAAATATACCACGTGAATCACAACGCAGCATAGAACGCATTACCACTTTGACCCGAGTAAATCGACGCTCGGGGCCCACCTAAAAAGTAGACCAAACTTGAGAAAAAATTCTGGTTTTACCCAAATTTTTTCTACCATTTCCAACACATCTCACCCTTGAAGTTTTTAATTTCATACAAATAGCCCATTTAATTAATAAATCATCAATTTAATTAATATTTTTTAATGATGTGAGCAATTTATTTTATTTAATAATTTAAATAATTTTATTTTTGTATAAAATAACAGTTAAGAATTTTATTTTCTTAATTAATTATATTAAATAAAAAAATTGACAATAAAATATTTATAATTTTTTAAACCATAAAAAATAATATGTATTTTAAATAAATATTAGGAAGTTGTCCTTTGTTCAATTATATACTTTGTTTTGATTCTTTTGTCATAATTTTTTATCATCATGGCCCAAAGCGAAAGGATCCTATTTGTCTTGCGGAAAAAGATTCGCACCCCCTTTTCCCCCACCAAGGATCCTCTAGAGTGAAATTTCTCTAAAGTTTTCTAGAGTGCTCCATTGTGTGGTTGAGATTCACTAACAAGTCACATCAGAAAAATTGATGTGACTTGCCAATAAATCTCAACCACACAATGGAGTACTCTAGGAAACTTTAGGAAAAAATCACTCTAGAGGATCCTTGCTCCTTTTCCCCTCGCTACCTTGACCCTCTCTCTTTTTGATTGGTCTGGATTTTTTTTTTTTTTTTTTTTTCCCTTCTCCTCCAATCATTACCCGTCACGTGTATGTGTGTATGAGTGGTGGGAGTGGTGATTGGAGGGGATTTCTATCAAAGCCCTTATCTTACTTATGGATGTCGTTGAATTAAAATTGATTTTTTTTTTTATAAATTATAAAAATTGACACAACTGTCATATGAGTTGACATTCATTCCCACGTAAATTCTATCCATGTAGATAATTATTTCTGATCAAATGAATTTTGTACTAATAAAAAACTATTAAAATTTCCCTTGTCCTATCACAACTGTATAAAATTACATGTTGACGGACCACATCAATCTCTGGAAAGCCAGATGTGATCTGCAACGAAGTTTCTTTGCATTTAAAAAATTCAAATGGTAGGCCACCATCCATAGGTGATTAAATTTAACCAAAAAAGAGCAGAACGTTATATGTTCCTTCGCTCGTCCTCTAGATTATATAATAATCAAGAGAGAGAAAAGGGGGAGTTGATCGAAAAACAAAAAACGAACTAGGTGAGACGAGAAATGGATCTGACACTTTTTGAGACTGCAAAAAATGACAATGACTCTGATTTGGAAGGAAAGTTTTCTGGAGATGTTCTTGATGTTCAAATTAACATAATGGAGGTGTTCTCTTTCTCTCGTTCTCTTAAAATTTTGGATAATTACATTTTAGTCTATGAAATTTGTCCTCAAAATACAAATAAAACGAAAACTATCAGTAGTGTAATAGCTTCTTCTTTTTTTTTTTTATCAATAAAAAAAAATGATATTGCTAGTATGTTGCAACTTGTAAGCTAATTAGATCGGATGAGTATGCATTATAATGAAAAAGAGTATACTACAATGTTATTGCATTTAAATAGATCTCACCTCATGTCTAATTCTGTAATAAAATTTTATGCACGTAAACACAATGTTTAGAATAAAGTCTCAACGAAATTTTGCTATGTTCAAGTTCAAATGTTTTAAACAATCTAGTTAAACTTGATGCAGATTCCAATGGAAAAACATGAAAGTCAACTCTAGCCCTACAAATGAGAAGGAAGTCTTGGCCTTGGAGTTGGATCTCCATCCTCCAAATAACGCTAAAGTCGACGACAATGATGATGGTGATGATGATGGGGATACTGCTGATCACCTCCTTATTCCAAACAGTTCGACTGATCAAGGAATCGACGTCTCAAAAGCAGCTCTGCTGATTGGATTCTTCACTTTAATATTAGGTTTTACAATTTCAGCTCTTAACAATTTAAAGGATGTTGGAAGAACTGAAACTAAACTCACCCTCGGATTCAAAGATATATTCTTGCATCCAGACAAGTTACCGGATGCTTTCTACGACATCCTGTTACTGACAATTGCGTTTTCAGTCAGCATCGTATTGGCAGTGGTTTTGTTGTGCCTGATCATTAAGGACCAGTCATTTTTTTGTCGGACACTTCTATTTGCAGGTGTGGCTGCTTTAGTTTTGGTTACATATTGAAGGACAAGGTGTCTAAATTCTGGTTAAGTGCTATAGAATCCTTCAGCATTCCAAGCTTTTGGTTGGTGTGGGTGTATGGCTTTTCTCTTGTCCTCTTGGCAGTTACAATATCATGTGTAGCACATCTTCTTCTTTCTGCATTTTGCCCTGTGGGTTAAATTTACTCGTGCTCTTATATTTTATATCAAATCTCACTTTGTCGTATGATCTTTTGATTGTTCCAATCAATTCCTAGACTTCATTTCAAGTTGCAATTGAGCCCGGTCTCACTGTTTTGAAAAATGACGGAGAAATTAAAGCAAAAGGACTAAAGTGGGAATTTTGATAAAAGTATATGGGTGTTTAAGACTAGGGTAAAGAGGTTGAAATGTGATTTTGGTAAAAATGTAGAAGTACTAAGTGTAATTAATACTATCACGTGACTGTTCTCCGTTAGTTTCGAAACGACGTTATAGGAACGGACTCAATTGCCACTTGATTCAAAGTTTAACAGGTTAAAACAATTACAATTTTAAAAGACAAAGTGAGAATTGATGTTAAGTATATGGGTGTGAAATGAAATTTATCCTTTTTAAAATAATATTTTTATAAGTTTCAAATTAAATTTTACATTTTAAGATTATCTGAAGAGGTTTTTTTTCCACTTCAAATTTGTCATCTTGATAATTGTTTTTAAATTTTATGTAATTACAAAACAATGTGCCAATAATTTCTGTAATTGGGGCACCAATTATGGTGTGCTTAGCAAACAATTGTGTTGTTAGTCTTTTGAGACTAATCAGTTGTTGTTTGAATAGTAAAAATTCAAATGATTCCTTTCTTGAGTTGTATTTGTTTTCCTTGTGTTTTCCCTTTTATTTCATACTAACGTAAAATCAGTGCAAATAATAAAATGCCATAAATAATACTAAATATATTAAAAATTAATTAAATATTGTGATATTGATTTATATGGATATTTAAATAAAAAAATTGAATGATTTCATTATATTTATATAGATATGTAGACCTAATTAATTTTTTTAAAATACACTCAATCAAATAAACTCAATTGAAAAGAAATAGTAAGAGTGAAATTCTATAAATATAAGATAAAGATATAATTAAAAAAATTAAGTTTAAATTTGAAGATAAATATAAAAAGAGAAAATTAAATAAATTTTTGAAAAAGAATAAACTCAACTGAAAATCAAGAGCGAGAGTAGATTCTGTAAATATAAGATAAAGATAAAAAAATCAAATTTAAATTTGAGGATGAACTATAAGAATATAGAGAAAAAAGAAAAATTAAATAAATTCTAGAAAAACGAGGTAGAGAGAAATTCAATAAACATCAAATGAAAATTGAAAAAAAAATCAAGTTGAAATTTAAAAATTCAAAAATAAAATAAGATAAATTTGAAAAAAAAATAAAAAAATCTAATATAACTCTAATAATAGAGGAACAGAAGAGGGTAATTGTTTAAAAATTAGATAAGAGTAAAATGTCATCTATAATTTTTTAAAATTTGTATAAAAAAACATCAAAAATAAAAACTGAGGTGTAGTAAGTTAAAAATTAGATAAGAGTTAAATGGAAACTATAATTTTTTAAAATTTAAATTTTGAGTAGTTAAAAAATAAACATTTATAATATCTTATTATACAAATTTTAACTCTATTTTGTGTCTACTACTAATAATTTTTATATTCTAAAGCTATTTAATAAATAAAAAAAAATCAAGGGATCACCTTTTGTGAAGCCCCAATTTTTTTTTTTTGGAACATCATAAGATTTAAATAACAATAACTTGCTAGATAAAATTTTGACTACTAATTAGGAAATTTTAAATTCTTACATAGTCAAAGCCCAACAACAAAATAAAACTACAAGTTCACACACAGTGTCACAACATTGTTAAATACTAATACAAGAGATAACAGGATTTTATTTTGATAAAATCTTGACTCTAAGTTAGCCAAGGTTCGATATTAGCAGCAGCTCCAGTTTCAGCCTCAGTCTCTCTTTCGACATAATCTGGCATGAAATGCCAGCGCAACAAAATATATGCCATGAGTTTTGCAACATAGTAAGAAAACATAACCAACCTACCATTCTTTTTGAGAGAAAATAATGAGATTATAAACACGAGATAATAGTATAATCGTAAACATAAATTACAACCATTAAAATAATTCTAATAATTTTAATAACTTAGGTGACCTTTGAAATCTCACCAAAGAGGTTTAACTTACCAACCACTAAGTCATGGCCACGGTTAATTTGGAAACCTCCCATTGGTCAAATATTCATGAACTACCAAAGATGCCCACGCCCGGAGTTATATACCCAAGCTGTGACATCCGTGGTCTGCCCTAAGGGAACGGTCTGCCAAGGGTACGTAACTTCCCTGTGTGCCACCCGCACATCCACCCTTATTCCAAAACCAAATACCGATAAGGGTTCAAATAAGCTCCGTGCCATCTTAGGGTTTCGCGACACAATTTACTTAAAAATTATTAAAAATTAGGGCTCACCCTGAATACTCAGTATTAACCCTCTATCAGTAACTTTATATATACCATTAATCATTTCGGTTAATTTATATATTAAACACAAATTATTCAAACTTCAATCACCAATAATGTTATACCAACTAAAAAAAAAAAAAGACTCCCAATATAAAACATTATACATGTCACACAATAATAATTCAATGTACAAAATTTAATAGACAATTAATTTAAACCATGGTATGAACATAATAACTTAGATACAAGAAATAAACCATAATTACACACATACACAAATTTTTGATTTACAAAATTAGACTAGCACAATATTAAATAAATCACAACACACCCATACATGGATTACTAATTTATAATAGATGATGGATTAGACCAACACAATATTGAAGTGATGATTTTATCCTATCCAGAAATTTTAAGATTATAACTTAGGTATTAAAAATTATAAATAAATTATTTACGCAATCCTAAAGTTCGTGCAATTGAACAGAATACTCAATAGGGATGTTTAGGTCATTTTTCAGAAAGAATTTCAAAAAAAAGAAGATGTAAATAATCCTGTAAAATTTCTAACAATTCTTATGACACAGATTTGTCACATTTGCTTACATTAATTCCATGCTTAAATTTATAGATCAAATCCATATAAAAATTTATCATGAAACTAGACTTCTCAAATTTCATCTTTTAGTTAGAAATTACCAGATTTGGCTTAGTATAGAATTTTAAATAAATTTTTAAATACATAGTAAAATATGTCTCACAGTTTCAGATTTAGTTAAAAATTTGTATAAATTCGCAGAAAGCTCAAAAATTGTTGCCAAAATTCCTGGATGAACTAGACATCATTCTCAACAACTTTGTAGAGAAATCACCTCGAAATTTTGAGTATAAAATTGTCTAAAAATTCGCGTAAACATTCTAGCAAATTCAAGGACAAACAAATTATTTTCAATCTTCTCTTTAAATGTATAAACTACACATACAAGCTTATTTTTTTACAATAATAAGATGATTTTAAGACTATCAATATCTTCAAACATTTGATATACACATCACAAAATTCCTACACATGTGTATAAAATTTCTATCTATGAGTAGTCATTTTAATCACATGAACATAATCTAAACTTTATTAATAAAAAGAAATGAGAGGGTTTTCTTACTTAATAGTAAGATTCAAAAGGGTGATGAAATTGTAGAAAAATTTTGCTTTCTTAACCTTCCTCTCTTTTTCTCCTTCTACTGTTAGCTAAGATTTTTTTTTTCTTCTTATTTTCCCCTCACTCATACGAAGGAGCAGACTAAGCCTTCTCTTTGCATGGGATTATGCTCAGCCATTCTTGGTGTATATATGGTGAGCCTCCCCCTCCCACTCCCTCTCTCTCTTTCTCTTTCTCATTATACTCTCCACTACAATTCTCCTCAACCCAAGAACTATGATGGAATGAAAGTTTCCATGGGTACATGCAAGCTAGCAAGTGGCACTACTTGCCACCGAGAATCTGATTCTTTTATTTTTTACTAAGGTTTTTAGTATGATGTTAAAATAATTTAAAAATAATAAATATTGAACATCCATAAAATTATTATTCTTAATAAGATCTTTGTTAGTGATTGAATTGGATTAATTTAAAACTAATTTTTATAGTATTATATATTTTAGGTAGATTCTGAATAAAATTAATTAATTAATTTATTTATTTATTTTCTTTTAAGAATAATTAAATATGGGTTTTCACACCTTTTTATTTCTTAATTTTGTTTTGTGTCAATAACTTATAAATTTCAACAATTTTTGTATTATGAAATTATTAAATTAAAAAAAATAATGTCAGTTTTTTTTTTTTTTCAAAGTTAGTTAGTTTCATTTTAATTCTGTTTTGTATGAATAACCTATAAATTTCAACAACTTTTGTATTCTGAAACTATTAAATTTAAAAAAAAATCACTTTTCTTTTTAAAATCTTAGTTAGTTTTTATTTTTGCTTTGTATTAAAAGCCGATAAAGTGGCCTTAGTAGTGCTACACATGAAAAAAAAAATCACTTTTCTTTTTAAAATCTTAGTTAGTTTTATTTTTACTTTGTGTTAAGAGCCGGTAAAGTGGCATTGGTAGTGTTATGCACGAGTATAAATAAATAATCAAAAATTAGTTTTAAAATTAAATAATAATATAAAATTTATCTAAAATATGTAATAAAAATGATTTATAATCAATTAAATTTTATTTATTTTTATCAGAGTTACACATAAATGATTTGTATATTTATCCCAACGTGATATTTACCTAATCATTAAAAATTATCTTGGTTTATGCCCAACTTATGAATCATTTGACCTATTTATTTATTAAATTAGTAAATAAACATCTATAAGTATTTTTTATTTTTTAAATAAGAAATATGAACATATTTTATGCATATCCATTAAAAAAAGGGAGATTAACCAATAAGTCTCATATTTTGGATTTGTAATTCATATAGTCCTATATTTTTTCTCGTAATCTATTTAGTCATTTTGGATATGTAATGACTCATTTGCCCTCAACATTGGAGTATCATATTTGAAAAAAGTACACTAAAGAGTTTTTTAGTATCATATTATACTCGCTACATTAGAGTGTCACATTTGAAAAAAGTATACTAAAGAGTTTTTAATTTTTTTAAAGTATCACATCATACCCGCCACATTGAAGTGTCACATGTCATGTTTGGAAAAAATATACTAAAGAATTTTTAATTTTTTTAGAGTGTCATATTATATCCGTCCCGTTGTTAATTACGTTTGAAAAAAGTATACTAAAGAGTTTTTAATTTTTTTTAGAGGGTCACATCATATCCACCGCGTTATCACGTTTGAGAAAAGTACACTAAGGGGTTTTTATTTTTTTTGAAATGTCACATCATACTTGTCATATTGTCACATTTAGAAAAAGTATACTAAGGAGTTATTATTTTTTTTGAAGTGTCACATCATACTTGTCATATTGTCACCTTTAGAAAAAGTATACTAAGCAGTTTTTTTTTTTAAATGTCACATCATACTCGCCACATTGCCACGTTTGAGGAAAGTACATTAAGAAATTTTTATTTTTTTTGAAGTGTCACATCGATGGCTCCA